ATTTTCAAAGAAGGGACAATGAGTTTTTAATTAATTTTAGCAGAGGAAAGTCCTCTATTATGAGATAGCAGGTTTTCAACACCCGAATTCAATCACAAATCTTTTTTTCGCAACGACTACACGATCTGACAATGAATTTTCCACCAAACAGATTTCGCTCCAAGGGCAACAAATTCATGGTGGAATCAACTGATGATGCCTATTAATTTAACAGAAACCCCGATGTCCCATTTTAGGATCCTGTCTCATAATAGGGGACTTTCCTCTATCTCCTCTTGTACGTGAAGCTTGCCACACGCTTTAATGTTGAAATCTGATTTCTCAATAGAAATTTTCATTTATGGACGCCAGTGTTCCAATCGCGAATGCTTCAGAACAATGCCTCAATTAAAACCGGAGATATTATTTTCATGACTCAGAAAGCATGTATGAATATTAACAAAAAAACGTATCCGCCTCAAGCTTGTTAATCATTTTATATTATGGCAATTTTATACAATGTTCATAGTATTTCGATTAAAGCGGTATATCGTTTTCACTGAGCGTGAAAAAGTATCAACGATTATTCAATGGTTTCAAGATAGCAGAGTGTGTGCGGTATGGCATTATCGTTTCATTATGTAACGAAAGAGCATTCCGAGCCACTATCTCGTTAATTATCGTAAAATACATCCGTTGCATGTCAGAGAATATTTACGACTTTTTCGAACTTTGACGATACAAAAAGGCCGTCGCAAAGTTGATTGGCGCGAAAGAATCGCCCGCATTCGCGCTTTTTGAAGAAGCTACGCCATTATACGCGAAACGGCCCGTGATTGATAAGTGGGTGGGCGGACTTTGATCCAATAATCACGACGGCTCGATGAAAGCGCCGGATTAATTATCGCCGGGACACTGCGCCGGATGTTTAGACGCTTAGGGCTTTGATTGCGAACCAACTCGCTCGTTCTCGTATAAATTCCAAGAATAGGCTTAGCGCACGCTTCGAATTCGCGCACCCGGAGCAAGCTGCGGCTCGCACGGTCCACATTTGAGACTCGTAATTAGCGAAACGATATATTTATCGTCGTTATTATATCGCGTGCACCCAGAAAAAAAGTTTCTTTGAAATCAAACAAATTTCCTTTGAATTTTGACCTCGCTAAACTTTCATTTAATTTCAGAGAAATTATTTTTTTACCTTAACCAAAATTGTATTTTATTTATACGACTGAAATCTCTAATTGTAAGAGAATTCATATATATATTTCTTCAAATCTAGCAAATGTTTTAGTAGAGGTAAATAAAAATTTAGTAGATTCAAAGAAACATGACTTCAACACGTATCTGACTTATTTAACTTAAAGAAATATTCTTTCTGAGTGTGCAATTTCTTCTTCGAATTGCAATTTTATTTTTTACGAGAGAGACATATATTATTCTTGATTCCATAAGCGTTTTAAACATTCCGAAAAAAAAATTCCGATCCCGAACGATCTCCATTTTCTCAACGATGGCGGATTCCCGCGCGCGATCGGATTTCGCCTATCAGACTATCGGGAACGCGTGGCACGACGTGACGCGACATTGCACTTGCATAACTTCGATCGTTTGTTCCGTGTTTCCACGCCACGTCTCGCGGGAAGACGACGCGATTCGAAAACAGCCGCAATTCACGCGTGGCTCCTTAACGCGCGTGTCGCTTCGACTCCTTTCATTGAAATTCTTCAGCGGATCCGCGTACTAATGCTGGGCATGTACACGGTATGCAAACAGTGAGATGGAAGCGGCGGAGTGGCTGGAAAACTTTAAATTGTCTTGCGTGAGGGAACTCCGCGAGAGGATTTTTAACGTTGTCAGGACAGCTCTTTACATAAACGTATAATTCCTTATATACGAGTATAACTGTGTATTTTGCGGAATTTCCCTAAAGAACTCAACGACTGTTCATTGGGAAATTACTTCTCTGATAGAAGATACTCAAAGTATGATTCACAAAGTGGAAATTACACAGAATCGAGGGGAGTTTTTAAAAGTTTATGAAAAAACTTTTATCGTCAAGGATTGTTTTTCAAGCACAAATATTTTTAATGCTTGTTTAATTGAAATTATCTTTTCACAGACCAGTGAGCTACTGTTTTGTAAAATCGCATTCGGTGTGCTTGAATACGAATTGATTGAACTATCGGATACAAATTTTTTTTTATATTAAAACTAAAAAGTAATAATTTTTTAAGTAATTTGTGCAGCTTTAAAATATCATTTTTAACCTTATCACAAAATCATGAATATTCATATTTTACTTATCTGATCCTAAGTGTGTCTCACTTAGAGCTGCGGTAATCTGAGATAAAGCGAGTTACAAAAAATGATCTATGAACAGCTAGGATCATAGGCCGCATATCTTTGTCCTATAACCTAGGCCAATAAATCGTCCGATTGCCAGAGACGTTCGGTCGTTTACCTCCGCGGCGCCGTTTCCTTCGGAGAGAACGATGCCGCCGTGCGTCTAATTTTCATCCTTTTTTTCCCCCGTTTGTCTCCGCCTCTCGTCGGACTCCTAGAAGGAGGCGCTGACGACCGTCACGGAAATAGAAAGCCACGCTCAGACCCGATGTCGTCGACAAGTTCGCCCGCGTTGAAGCCAGCCTGTAGGCTGGCTCTCCCGGGATCCGTTTACTCGGCGACGACGGCGACGACCCAGTCACGGAATTAGGCGACCCTCGTTGTCGATCGAGGAAGCCGGGGACGATCGTTAATTCTGGAGATAGAGCTCCAGGCTCGTAGAGACTTTTGTTTCCATCGCCGGCCGGCTCGCGTCAATTTGCGTGTATTTATACACGCGCGGCGGCACTCGTCAGATATTCGTCATGTCCTACCTCACGCACGCATCCATTCAATCTTCCTCGCTCCTCTCGCAGATAGGATGCAGCTTGAGCGAGGAATCATACCCTGAGAAAAATTTCCATCGGATAAACCAATCGAGTAGTGTTTCCGATGGTTCATTTTACCGATTACGTTTTCCGATTAAATTATGGATATATCCGACGAAGTTTATCCAATGAAATGCGGTTACCGGTGAAATTTGATCGAAAAACCGATCATATTTTTCATCGGATATAATGCAATTTAATTGGATATATCCGTTTGTTATTATGTAATTGGATTATCCGATTATATTCAATCAGACATTTTTCTCAGTGTACGTATTTGTTTGCGCAAATATAATACAACAAAGCGTCGATCTAACGGCCAAATAACATTATACAAGAAGAAATTTCGATAATGATTGTAAAATTTAATTTTAGAATTTTATAAAATTTATATGTATTCGTGTACGCGTTTCGGCAACACAGTGCCTTCTTTAGCATATAAAACTACATTAAGAAAGTCAAAACTAGAGACACAGTTTTTACAAATTCTATAGACGATGTATTACGTTGCAAAATACAAGTTACATCATTTCGAATTTTGATATATGTGTCGTTAACTTAAAAATTATTTCGCGACATATTCCAAACAGCCATTAAATCACGTCAGGAATTCAGACACATCGAGAGAAATTCGAAGCTCAGATGGTCGCAATGTTCACACTGAGAAAAATGTCCGATTAAATATATAATCGGATAATCCAATTACATGATAACAAACGAATATATCCGATTAAATTGTATATCCGATGAAAAATTTGATCGGTTTTTCAATCAAATTTCACCGGTAATTGTATTTCATCGGATAAATTTTATCGGATATATCCATAATTTAATCGGAAAACGTAATCGGAAAAATTAACCATCGGACATACTATTTAATTGGTTTATCCGATGGAAATTTTTCTCAGTGCAGAGTCACTTATTAAGTGTAATATCCTCGGTTGTTTGTTCTCGACTCATAATACATATTTCTGATGCGGCAATTCGCCTGAGCGATAAACGTAAATCAAGATGCAAGTCATAATTAGTTTATGTCGCACTTACGGTACCTCGGCGCTTATCGAGAGGCGACATTTCCGAAGACTGTTTAATACGCACTAGACTGGTGTTCCATGCCAATTTGGATCTTATTTTAGCGTCGAGATAAGAATCACGATGTTACGGCGCGTAATACGCTGTGCAATTTACGCGAGACGACGTGCGCTAATTACGAAGCACCACATTCCAGTCTCTCCGATCGTTTGACGAATGGGCCCTCTGATAATCCGACTTGCGCTTTCGCGAGGCGACTGCTCGCAATCTTTCTCTTTAAATCGTGGAATGTCTTCGCGCGGCCACTCATCGCACAACATCTTCGAGACGCGAGTTCGATCACCTTAAGCATCTGGCAGAGACGCCGAGGCGCGCTCGCTAATTACGAAAAGTTCCTCCCTTCCTCCTTCTATCTCTTTCCGGTGACGAGAATGTCGTCGAAAGCTGGTCTTAAATATCGCAAAGTTCAGTATTACCGAACGCGTAAAATAGACGGCTAGCCGTTTCTACGAGCGACAAATTTACGAAAATACACGAAACCATAAATAACGTGTTCTTTATATCCATATAAAATACTTGGATATAACAAACATGTCCGCAGCAATATCGTACACGCATAAATTATCATTCTCCATTCTGTAATTTCCATGTTTATGTATTCGTGTATTCATCAATGACAGTGAATATATTTTTCATCAAATTATAAATATGTTTTGTTTCGGTAAATTGTTCAATACTTGATTAACTATAAGAAATGTCGCGCATTATTAGTTTATCGTGACAAGCCATTAAATAGTTAGCCATTAAATAGATATAAATCAGTGATAAGAATATATTAGCGCATACTGATTTTTATGCTTTGATTAATTCGGCGTGACACAAAAATTTGATTGTTTTACAAAAAATTAAAAAGTCGGAAAAATATAACACTGCTCAGATTTAAGTACGAATTCATACACGATATCACTTAACATTATGAAAGGGAGAAGCGGGGACGCGTACAAGAGATCCGCGAAAGTTGCGGATTGGTGAAGGTCTTTCTCGAATCTGTTGCAGATCTCTGGAGATTTTCCACCAACATGGAAAAACGCATACCGAGCTTCTGAAAGTCCAACGCAGCGCCGGTGGCTGCGGATTAGGGGGGCCTCTGAGATACCCGAACTCCGTTATCTTGTGGCTGCGCTGCAATAAGGTATGCACGACGTGCGTGGCCGCGTTCTTTCGATAGATTAAACTTCAATACGCCAGCGATCGATATCACCCTACTACTGTCGTAGACAGACAGTATGATGTATCACCAAAATAATGACAGAAGTGTGCCTCCTGTTTGAGCTTATCATCCCGTTTCCCAGACCATTACTTCTTGCAATTTGTCTCTGTCAGTATATTTTATTGCTTATCGATTCGCCCTCCCTTTGAGTAATCTCGCATGTAGACAAAATAGTCGTAGTAAGTATTAAAAAGCGAGGGATCAACGTGTCCTGATTCTCGTGTATAATTTCATTTTAAAGTGACATAAAAATTTAGACACCGTTTTCTTCATTGATACATGAAAATAGGTTAAATGAAATTTACGTTCGATTCTTCCGTAAACGTTTTTTGTCGAACGTCGTCCGACATCTGCAGTCGTTTTCCATTTAATTGTTGCCTGAGGCGACTTTTAGTATATCATTCGTAAAACGTCTTATCCTTTTTTACGAGGATCTCTTACGCAAAAATATTATCGCTGATTTTTATTAGGAACCGTAAAACCTATTTTTATTAGTATACCGTATCACCGGCCTTCGGATTAATATTACCTTCGTACTTGAGAATCCACTACTTACCGAAAATGTGCAATGTTTGTGCTAGAATTTCAGATTTGTCCACGTGACGAGAAGTAATGTAACGAATAAATAAACTTCGGTTCTCAATCGCTGATTTAAGTAAAAGCAGAAAAAAAGACGTTCGCGCAATTACTGCTGACCATAAAATGCTATCGCGTCGTGCGTAGTTAAAGTTTATTGTGCTCGGTACACCACGCGGGGCTTTATCGACATCCTAAAAGCATCGCGCTAATCGACGGCGCCCATATTCAGCGCGTCGTGATAAATGTTCTTATATTCTTATTTTACGGGTGCGATAGAAAAATTTCGAAGGACAGGAATTATCGCCGTTTACGCGACGGGAAACGCGCGGGAGCGTCAGCGCGTTAATTTGTCGGGCGGATTTAACGCGGCTCATTTCATCCGCTTCGTCGCCGCAGCCTGCTCGCAAGCTGTTTCGGGTTACGTCAGGACGAGATGATATCGCCCGTCCGTTTTCGGCTCTGGATCTCGACTGAGGAATATAACTGTATCGCGCTCGCGGCACAGCGCCGCGCCGCTCGTTTTCCTTGATAAACGATAAAGTTTATCGCCTTCGAACGCTGCCCGGTCTGGTTTATCGTCGCCTCCGTTAGGTCGGGATAATCGATGGTGCCGCTTTCAGCGCCGCGCAGATACTCCGTTCCGCCTACTCTCCCGAAAGAAATCGCTATCCCAGGCTTCTCATGACAGCGATCACAGAAACTATCACTCGGCTAAGCTAATCCGAGCTCCGAGGAGGAAGGGACGTTCAGTCAAAAGCAAAATAAGAGTCCCGGTCAATAACGAGAATTATTTATAATATGACTGTGGCAAGTGTATTAAGAAAAAGTCAGAAGGCAAAAATTGCATGTAGAAAGTAGATAGATTATACGCGAACGTTCTTATTAATTATAATTTCGTGCAATACATCCTTCTACCGCGCTGTATCTACTTGTTCTGACTGCATCGCGCGAATTACAGTCTTGTCAAAGTGTCACCGTTTCGCAACGTGATGTTAAATCATGCGTGCTTCGAATGAACAACGTTTCGAGAAAATCCAGGCTAATTGCGGGACGATGGTGTTGATTGCACGGCGTGCAAATTTATTGGATCTAATATGTAATCAGCGGCGAAGTCGGATAAAAACGGATAGAAACTTCGATTCTAGGCTACGGGGTGTTACTTCATCGGAAACATTTACCGAAGTACGGCTTTAGAAGCGGCAGAGCGGAAGTGTCGAGCAGCCACTGTCACGAGGACTGTCATTTCTCCAATAGCACTTTCCGCATTATTAATTTATCCGCGGTTCTGCTACGCCGACTCGCACGTAAATAGGAAAGCAAATTAGAAATTACTTTCCAACGATAAATACCTCAGAATTGACTGCCGCTACGCGAGAGAGCTTATTTCGACAGTTGCCTTGATAGAAATTCACACTCCATAGAAGCACAATATAAATACATGTACATACGACGTGTATCGAGAGTTTTATCAATTAGCACCTTCTGCGATTCATCAAATATCTCAAGAATATTCTCTCGACTTACGTAAGAAGAAAATTTTGACGTAATTGCACATTTATTCTCTCGCAGTCAAATTCGATTAATTTTTTTTTTTTACGTAATCTAAAAGGCACGAGAAATTCTCGGGTGCATGCGACGTCGTTCCGCAGTTAAACTACCGAATTTACGGAGATTTACGTGACACGTTCGGGCTTTAATTAATCTACGAATCGATTAACCTTCGTTCTGACGTTCGAGGCTCGACGTCGTAAAAGTAAAAGCACAGCGAAGCCGGTGTATGCTAATATTCAGCGCGATATCAAAAATCGTGAGGCCGTCTGACACAAATACCGCGTCCGCTCGAAACCGCCGTATCCTAAATACCGCGAAACGATCGGTACCCAGCGCGATTTCGAAATCGGAAGTCGATCCCTCGGCAACCTTGCCTATGCCGGTGCCCGTAACGGCCATTTGAGAATTTCTTTAGCCTTACGTTACCGCAGATCTGTGGTCTAAGACTTTCCCCGAGAGCGGCGACGTTAAGTAACGGCGTGTTCTCGAGTAAGGTCCCGTTCACACCATATTTCTCAATCAGGTGGACTGTGCCGCGTATTGTAACGTACCCGGGAATGAATGGAGTTATACTATATTTCGCGGTATATCTATTCTGGTCAGCTAATCTCTTGCGATGGTTGCATCAGCGATTTCAGCTTTTACCGCTTATGAATGATAATAACAATACCTAGGTATATATTTACATTTAATAAAATACTCAATTAAAAATCGCCCAGCAACTTTCTCATTTTTTACTTTGCCCTTAATTTTCAAATTTAAAGTTCTTGAAAAAAGTCCAAGTCTCTGAAATCTTTTCGTGTGGAGGGGAGTCCCCTATTATGAGATAGGCTCCTAATATGAGATAGCGGGGTTTCCGCTAAATTAATTATATTTTGCCTCCACCATGGATTTATTGCCCTTGAAGTTTCGTGGAAAATTCGTGGTTAGATCGTGCGCGTAATTGTTGCAAAAAAGATTTGTGAAATTGAATGTTGAAAACCCTCTATCTTATGTTAGGAGCCTATCTCATAATTGGGGACTTTCCTTTATATAATTCACGGAAAACTACTTTTCTAAATTTAAATTTAACTAAACTAATGAATGTAAGTTCAAAAGATCTATGTTGGGCCAAACATATGATATGTTATACACATGTGTTTATTAATTAATATAATGAAATCTCGCGTAGATAATTTCTGTTAATTGGAGGCGACTAATGCACAAGTGAAATCTAAAGAATCGTGTATTATTATTGTACGATTAAAATTGTTGCTGATGACGTGCCGACATACTTTCCACGAATCCATTCAAAGGAAAAAAAGAGATAGAGATGATAGTGTAAATACGGCTTAATGTAGCTCGTACGTCATCGTTTTGTGCATGGATCACTGGCTGCGTTTCGCGAGCAGCCGCACTGGAATGCCAGATTTTTCTGCCGTATTGCAAATACCTCCCTCCTCGCCTACCTTTCCATCGATCCTTTGCAACCATTTGCACACACGTGAGCGTACGTACGAACGCATACAGTTATCGCGCGGACGAACTTCCGCCCCTTTTCCATTGGGCGCTGGAGAGTGAGAGGCGATACGATTTGCTTTTCCCGTTATCGGCTACAACCGCCACCTTTGATAGAGTGGATCGATTAAGTTCTCTCGCGTGATCGAGGATCTCGGTGCCTGGGCTAGTTACAAAGTTGCGAAACAATGAGCGATTCCGGACGGTAATCGCAGAGATCCTGAGATATGCATGTAAATTGAACGTAAAGAGATATGAATAGGGGCGAGTGAAAAATGAGACGAGGTGTACAAATAAGGGCAGCAAGAGGTATCGGTAAAATCACATTTGTGTTAAATCCGGAGAAACGATATTGTTTCTTGGCAGGCTCGCTTGCGTCGAATTTGTCGGTGATGCGACTAAAACCGCGCGCTGTCGCCGGCAGTGTCGGGGAGGAGCATCCCGCAAACCATTCATGAATTCCTTATCATTTTCGCGCCACATATCTACGACGTATAAATAACCCTGGGTGTGCCAAAATTATCTGCGCCTTGAATCACCGGTCGTAATGTAGGAACCGCGACGGTTGCCGTGTCACCCCGGTCATTATGTCTCGATTTGCGGTCGTCTCCGGTTTTATTAATAAATGTCTCGTGCTTCACGTGCCCCATTTTACTTCCGCGATAAATCCCGCGTCCGCTCGGACGAGCGATCCCGATAGATAAACGTTTTGCGAATGAGACGAAATGGGTCGAGTTCAAAGAAAAATACGAGCAATTCCACTCACACGACGTACGTCGTCGAGAGTCGTGCGCAATTTACGAACGAAGAAATTGTCACGTGCCGTCTCTCCCGTTGCGTTTGTACATAGATTGTCGATCAATAAAAGTCCACATCCATCAATCGCGGCAGTAATGTAACGTCGGCAATATGTGTCCATCTGCGTGCGTTAATCGCGACAAAAAATTGTTTGGTTAAATTCTAAATTAAAAAACCAAGTAAAATACTAAATGCAAATGAAATTAATAAAATTATATTAGCTTTACTATTGCAAATCAGTGACTATTCACTGTTTTCAGTGATAATCCACTGATTAATTTTTAAAGAATGCACCAGTTAATACTCTAATATTTCTAATTTTCTGAGTTGATGTCTTATATTTACACATCTTTCAATTTTTGCTATTATATTGTCTTATATTAAACCAGATCCAGATCAAGATAATAAACACTCTGGGGAAAAAAGACAGCAACCTATTTTGGGGCCCCACAATTAGTAATCGAATTATTTGGATTGTTCGTAACACTCTACTCTGG